ATCGAGAACTCTAAATGGACAAAATACACAAAACAAAAAATTTAGTTAGAAAAAAAGCTTTGCCGTAACAAAAAGTTCATTAAAAAAAATTGTTCTAATAAATAAATATTATTCTCGACTTTTCTGAAGTAAATTATATGCATTTAGAGTTTGTTGAGATAAATTTGATGCATTATATGATGCCTGACGGGTATTTGCTGTATGTCCTAAATGTTTATCTAAATGGTTTAAATCGTCCATCGACGTAGCTATTTTATTACTCAGATTCATTGAAACGGCTCTTATTGTTCTAGTTGTTTAGGTTTTGCTACATAATTGTAAAAATGTTTTCTCATCCATAAACGCTAACGTATCCAAACTAATCGATTTATTGAAATCATCATGATTATTCGAAGATTCACTATTCGAAAACAAATCAAAATTTTCTATCATCGTTCTTAACGTTGATCGAATTATTTCAACACCTTTACCAGGTCGGTAGTTTTGACATGACTTAGTTACAAACATATGATAATCAAAAGTATTTCTCAACTCATTTTGTCTCGTTTGATTTGCGGTTGAATACTCATATAGATGACGAACAATGTTTTTCATTAAACTTTTACCAATTCGATAAACTAGTAAATTAAATAACATTTTAAAAATCACTATTGGAATCACAAGTTGTCCACATGAACCATGTTTATGTTCATCACAATTAATTAGTTTGTAGCCTGGGACAGATTCAACGGTCAATATATCAAAAATGTGTATTCGTGTTAAACTACTGAGCCTCCAACAATTCATAATACATAAATATGAGAATAGATACGCTTGAACTTTCATATATTTTACTGATAAACGATGATACGATGATTTTTGAACAATTTCTGTACGATTTTGTCCGGATGATGATGCTGACGACGAGGAAGAACGAGCAGACGTAGCCAGTGACAATTCATTTGACTGATTGATTATATATTCCATATATTTCTCATCATTAAACAAGCGTTGACCTAGTTTCACTGATCTTATTACTATATCACTGTTATATTGTGCTGTTCTCTTTTGTACAATTGGTTTGTTTTCTTTAGATAAAACTTTGAATAGACCTTGTAATTGTAAATAATTTTGATTCAGAATTAGGTCAATTTCTAAGCGTTTAGTTGAATGACAATTAACTAGAATTAACGATAATTTTGCACGAACATAAGAAATTAAACGACACAATCCAGATGTATAACATGTGATAGTTTTCGGACATAGTTTTCGATGTGCAATCAAATAGTTAATAAACGTTTCAATATTCTCAAATTCACACAGCAGTGTTGCATACCATACAGATGAATTATGAAATAGAAAATATGAATTCATTGTCTGAATGTATTTTTTAATAGTCACCAATTTTAATTTTCTTCCCCAGATCGAAAGTAAATATTTTTCAAATGCGTTTATATCAATTTCATAATTCTCCTAACATCGAAAGAATACGTTAAGGCTGACAAAATAAGTGAAAACACGCCAACAGAAAGCTCAACACGGAAACCAATAATGTTTTTCTCTATGACTGATTGAGAAGTGTCACTCTTTTTTTCTCTACTTTT